CCCCAAAACCCCAAAACCCCAAGATTTATTATTTGATGCCTTTTTAGAAAGTGAGACAAAAAATATAGTACGCTAATTGAATGATTTAATTAATATTATTCTTGATTTATTAATGGAGGCAAATAATTAGAGTTGGAGTCCTGAAAAGTTCCAGGATGGAGGGGAAACCCTGAAGAAAAATGCACTCTTGAATTAATCTCCACTTAAATTCGATTAATCACACTAATCAACAACTAATCAAACATCTTCTCACTATGAACAACAACAGCAACCCTCAGTAAATGATTAGCAAGAACAATCACCCTATCAAAATGGCGATTAAAAGTAATCTCTAAGAGATTTTCTAGAAGGTAAGTTATCACCATTAGAAAATGCAAATATTGAAATTATTTGAGTATTAAAAATTGTTCTATTGTTGTTCTAATTTTTACTAATCTGATTCTAATGTTATTTTGAGTTTAGATTAGTTAAGGGAAGAAATAATAAACATCAGAGAAATGAATAAGATCAATGACTTTGGGTTTGGTTTTGACCCTAGTTTGACTGGGGAAAGAGCTTCTTTGGTCATGATGTTTACCAAAAATATTAAACTATCTCATGGTCCCGCCACTAGTGTAGTAATTGAACCTCCTTCTTCTGGTAAGTTAAATTTTAAGAAATTTAAAAAAATGAAAATCAATTTTAAATAATCTACTCTAGGTGATGAAAGCGAAGAAGAATTAGTGGATAATGTGCCTTCGTAGACTAATTTAATCAAACCTGCTGAAAATAGTAATAATACGATTATTATAAACATTGTTTAGAAATAGAGATTAAGGGTTCACCAAGTTTTAATGAAGTAGTCGAAAGACTATTTGAACCATCTTTGCATTTGAACTTTGTTGTAAATTAATTATGCAAATCACCTTTAAATCTTACTTAATCTATAGACTGAAATTAGTGAAGTTCCTAAAAATTTAGTGCCATTTCTCGTTATCTCGAATGTAGAGCATTATCTGCCAGCTAAAAAGCTTAAGGAAAAAATAGACTAATTTAACTAAAAATCAAATATCATGTAAGTAAAATTTATCTAAATTCAAATCTGCTAGGGAAATATTACCTTTATCAGTAAGGACATTTATCTCTCCAAATTTAGCTGGCTGTGTTTCAAAATACTCTGGATTAGTTCAATACAAAAATCTAGAGGATGTGTAAAAAATATTCAATAATTTTAACAAAATGATTCCTAACATCAAAAATCCAGATAATTAGCAACCAATGAAAGTAAAGTTATTTGATTAAAAGTTTTTTATAAGGTATATTATGCTTTTGATAAGAGATATGTCAATGAAGAAAAGTGGGTTGGTGTTGTACTACGTAATTTACCGCCTGATATCAGTCATGATATTATAGCAAGAAATTTCAAATCAACTGAGCAATTTCAAATAATAAAATCTGAACCCCCGATGACTATTCGAGGGCAAAGATGTTCATTACTTTAATTGAAAGATATTGAACATGCTGAGAAATTCTGTCTAAAATGGAATAATTTCTCATTCAATGACACTAAAAAACTCAAGACTCATATTCATCCCTTAAGTAATACCACTAGATATAACCCTGGAAGTTCTCATTAATATATTTTCGTCAGTCAATCAAAAAAGTTAGGCTCAAATGTGCTTTTTCAGCAATCACCTCCAAAAATGCCAACATTTGGTACAGAAGTTGATCCTGAAAGAAAATTAAAATCTTAAGCCCCACCATAAAGCTATGAAAAGCCTTAGCAATAATAATAACAATAATAATAATTATAATAATAATAAAAGCCAATTCAAGAAAAGATAGTTTAAACTACGATAAATCAGCAGGTTGATGATTAAATTAAGATAGTTGCTCAGGAGTTGCCTATTTCTGATGTTAAAACTACTGAATAGAAAGAATAATTGAAATAGGATTCAGAATTAATGAAAATAAAGGAGATCATTAAGACTTCAGACAATAATAATAGTAATCATCTTTAAAATCTACTATAATAATTTCAATCTCAATACAATAAAGATAGAGATGCTTTGGTTTAGAGAGCCTCTTAAAAGCATTTAGAAAAGATATAAAGCTTACAAGGCGACTTGATGAATTAATAAAGTGGCAATCTTGTGCCTAACGGCTAATAATTAGCAATTAGCTAATAGCAATAATATTAAACAAAGGAAATATGTCTTTAGTAGCTTAGCTAAGAACATGAAAAATAAAAATAAGCCACGAAATTAGAATCAGTAGTAGCTAATAATGCTTCTCATGAAAATAGATCTAATATCACAACAAACAACAGTGCAAATATTGGTTTAAATTTTGCTCCCGTAAATGGGTTTGAATAACTGATTGCTAATCTTTAACAAAAAGCTGCTTAGCCTGATTAATCATTGCCTAAACCTAAAACTAATGAAAGTAACTTTGACTTCCTAGAGGAGCTTATAAACTAGAATCGTAAAAGTAATCCTAAAAAAACCTAAGTACCAATTAATTAGGTTTAAATGAATCAGCATTAGGTTCTAAGCTAAAGTGATTAAAAATCGTCATTTCTCTCATCTACATTGATTAAAGCAACATCTAATAACGGAAGCTCCTAAGTAAAATAAACAGTAGTTCTTTAATCAAGGCAAATTGAAAATTTCTCTATTGATCCATCAGATAAAACAAACCAGCAAGTATCAAACTCGGGCTCCAAGCCCTAGATTAAAGAGTAAACTAAAAATGATATGGCTTAAGATACGAAAGAATCCTCTTAAGAGGAAAAATTGCTAGGTAAACGCAAAAATCCTGACAACTCTAATGAAACTTAGTCTAAAAACAAACAAAATAAAGATTCATAGTTGTCAAGTAGCCATAAACCAAGCATGTAATCTAAATATTAAAAGGGCAAAAGAGTAATTGAAAGCAGTGAAGATGATGAGGAGAGTTACTCTAGTGACGGTGATAGCTAAGAGGGTTCTGGCAGCAGTAGCTCTGATGATGAATACAGTGCAAGTGAAAGTTCTCAAGATAAAGCAAAGAGGAAGGTAAGTGGTGGCTCAAATGGATTAAAATTTTAATAAAAGAGGAAAAGAGCCTTAGAATCTGATGAAGAGGATGTTTACATACCTAATAAACCTTACGCTAATCTTGATATCAAAAGAAATACTAGCTCAGGCAGCAATAATACTACGTAAATGCCTAAGAAGCGAGGCAGACCATCCAAGCAAGATCTTAAAATTCGAAGAAAAGCTGAAAGAGAGAGAATTCGCAAATCGTAATAAATGAATCATCATTCTTCAGTGTCCGCTGATAACAATAGTTTTTCTCACAACTAACCTACGTCTAGATATAATGGAAGCAATACTGGAACGTCAAAAATCTAAATTCAAAATATGAGTAATTTTGGAGACTCATAATCAGCAAGTAACGAATAAGCTCCAATCAAGAGAGGTCGTGGCAGACCTCCAAAGAGGTAGTAGTCCATCACCAACTGATGAAACAAAAGTTGTAAATTGGAATAATTAAGAGATTAAAAAAATTGCGAAAGCGGTGTTCGCTCATTAGATCACGGAGGAGGAGAGTCTAGTGTATTCGATTTCAATAGACCAACTAATAGCTGCTTTAGCAATAATATTAATATAAATTTACAAATTAATTACTTTTCTAACACCAACAGCACATAAGATCATAGTAGTATTCTGGGGTTTTGGGGTTTTGGGGTTTTGGGGTTTTGGGGTTTTGGGGTTTTGG